TATGTATGTATGTATGTATGTATGTATGTATGTATGTATGTATGTATGTATGTATGTATGTATGTATGTATGTATGTATGTATGTATGTATGTATGTATGTATGTATGTATGTATCATCTAGTCTATTCCCACTTATGGTGATCCTTTTCAAAGGGTTTTAGTTATAAAATACTAAGACGTGGTTTACCATCTCCTTCTTCAGAGGGTTCCCTTGCCCAAGGCTACATAGGCTGTCTCTTCTCCTACAAGGCACAATGGGGAAACAAACTTCCAATCTCTAGCTCTACAGCTAGGTATCCAACTCACTGAGCTCTCCAGTCATCTACTGCAGATGAACCCATTGTTAACTGGGGATGATAATGGAAACAATTTATCTCACTTTTTCACTACACTATGCCTTTGTTGCAATCTCAATCCTATTAATCAACCCACCTTGACAGACTGATAGTTTTTGGTGCTGTCAAGTCCACATTCACATGTGGACCTTCTGAATAGGATCCTTTGACCAGGTACAATACACATACGTTTCCCCAATGCAGAGATCATGCCACCACTTGGCATCAGATTTCCTTCTCTTGCTGGAAGGATGGTGACAGGCCAGTTAAAGCCAGCCTTGAGCTCATCTTAAGAAGCATACCTGGCAGACTTTTTCCATTATTTTTAGGATACATTTTTGTAATATCCACCGGAATTATCATGGTCTGAAGAAGTGAATTTGAACCACAAAAGTTCACACTTAATGTTTGATTTTTATATATATTTTTAAAGCAGTCTAATAAAGGTATCATCTTCTGCTACATTTGTATAGTGTAAGGACCAGACGGCTTTCTTCATTGTTTATTGTTTTCCAGTACTTTTAAGGATACCAGAAAAAGTCTCACTCTCCCTGCCCATACCATCAAAGAGACTACATGGACTCTTGACATCAACGAAGAAGCTGGACTGCAAATTGAGAAAAACATCTGCTCACACACTCACCAGGTTACATCCTTAATTTGGCTTTTATTGGCTTCTCCTGCCTGGTGAGTGAGCCAAATTTTATCCCAGCTTTCTGATGGTGATTGCTTCATTTCTCTGTTACTCTTTCCCCAACACCTCAGCCAAACAAGAACTTTATCCATTTAGTTTCACATTTAAACCTTACCTGGGTAATGCAAGCTCCTGTGAAAGCAACAATCACAGCCACTACATTTACTGTGAGCTGGAACTGCAGGAATTTGGAAATACTGTCATAGACGTTACGGCCCCACATTACTGCTTTTACAATACTACTGAAGTTGTCATCTGTCAAGATGATATCTGAGGCTTCCTTTGCCACATCAGTGCCTGCAATGCCCTAAAAAATGTAGAAGAAATGTCAAGAATAAATTTCTAAAATGGGAGATAACACTTCTTCCAGAGATAGCAATTTCAAAATACCTTAACATGACTGTTGATACATAAACTGATAGTCAGGAACCAAAGAACCATGGTAATAATTTAAGAAACGTTTTACTAATTTTCTTATGAAACTATGTCACACCTCATCTGTGAATATTGAAAGATTGCACAGATTACAAAACTAGACATGACAGAGTGGCAAAATGAGTGCACTGGTCATTCTGCAAAAAAAATAAATAAATAATTTGCCGGCCTCCAAAAACCTGCGGGAGCATCAGGGAGAGAAGGTGTCAGAAAATGATGAAATCAAGATCTTGTGGGATTTCCGGATCCAAACTGATAGACCCCTTGAACATAACACACCAGACATAGTAGTAATAGAATGACAAAATGTCTGGATAACTGACATTGCAATTCCAGGGAATGTCAGAGATGAAAATAAAGAATTGGAAAAGCAAACAAAGTACACAGAGACCTGGCAATTGAAACATCTCGTTTGTGGATGAAACACACTTCAGTGGTCCCTGTAGACATCAGGGCTTTGGGAACAATATAAAGAGATTTCACACAGTATTATAAGCAGTTGTAGATCTCAGAAATAGCACCATCATAGTTACAAAAACAACAATATTAGGAACAGCATACATACTGAGCTGATATTTAAGAGACACTTAGGTTTTTGGTTAATCATCTCGTTTGTGGATGAAACACACTTCAGTGGTCCCTGTAGACATCAGGGCTTTGGGAACAATATAAAGAGATTTCACACAGTATTATAAGCAGTTGTAGATCTCAGAAATAGCACCATCATAGTTACAAAAACAACAATATTAGGAACAGCATACATACTGAGCTGATATTTAAGAGACACTTAGGTTTTTGGTTAATACTGTGATGAGATGGGTTTTTGAGTTAAAAACTTGTAAGGAATATGGGTTTTGTAATTAAGAAATCAGCAAGAGAGGTTCCATCTTGTTTCTCTGTATAAAGGATCTGTATAATACTGACATGCTATATTTGCTAGTGCGAGCAGGGAGAATATTATTCTGAGAGCCTGAGAGGACTCGGTGTGATTAGATAGATGGGAATTGTTGTGACTCTTTGCTAAACCACAGTAACCCAAATAACATCTG